AGGACGAAACATGTAATTTTTTCAAGTTGTGATAAATCAGATAAGTATAGTAAAATTTTTTGGCAATAAATTCAACAAAATTTATTACATCGATAAATGATGTTGTAAAATACATTTTTCTTTAATTTTCTTTAATTCTATTAAGAAACCCTTAACGGTTATAATTTTTTTTTACACTATTGTTATTCTTATTTTTTATTCTTCTATTTTTTAACATAATTTGTACAAAGTTTATGCTATTTCATATTTAATATTCAATATAAAAAATGAAAAAATATAATAGTACGAATTTGTAAGAATTACTAAATTTTTAGAATTTATATTTTTAATTTCATCATTTTTAACTTATCTTTCATATCTCATTTTTCGCGACATAATATTTGTTTTACCCTTCCATTTCTTTCTTATCCTTTTTTATATTTTTTTCATAGTAGTAGCCTTTTATATTACTTTTTCATTTTCTTATTAAATATTAATATATTATGAACTTTTTATCCAGATTTTGATAAATCAAAATTTTTTGTAAAATATTATTATATAATGTAAAAATTATTATATAATTCAAATAATTGTTGGGTACCATTAAGGGTTTCAAGGATATTTGTATATGTATAATTTAGAAATTTGTAAAATGTGAGAAACAGATGTGAACAAAGTTATTACAATATTATCTCTTTATGTCTATAATATCGTGCATAATGTCAAATTTATTGTATATGTTGTTTATTAAATATTATAAGTTAGGTTGAAATTATAATAAGCAAATATTATCTAGAGATGAACATTTGATTTTGAAGAAACATAATGAATTTTCTTTGTGTGTGACGATTCTCTCAATAATTATAAAGAAATCTTTTTTCTTTTAACATCGAAAAATATAATAATTGAAATAATAAATTGGATAAATTTGATAATTTATTTAACAATGGAAAGAATATCAACCTGAAATATTATTTTTGTTACATTTCGTTTTTCGATATTTTATGTCTATAATATATATATATATATAAGTATAATATAATTTATGTACATTCGTTATTACATTTCTGACATTTGTGTATTTAAATACGTACATTTTACATTTGTTGAAGTAACTTTGTGCATATTTATTTATTGTTTGATATCAATAATATCAAATTAATCATTAATTATTTAATGATAAAATATAAAATTGAAAGAAAAAAGAAAAAGAAAAAAAAAAAAGAAATAGTTTACTGTTGGATAAGTTTAATAAATATCATCACGAGCAAAACGTTATTCAAATATTTATTAATATTATGTATTGTAATTAATAAAAACTATGATTTAAATTAAGAATAAATTAAGAGAAAAATTATTTATGTTATTGATTATACATAAATTGATTTCTATATTTAATCGATATAAAATAATATAAATACTATATATCGAAAACGATTTTGACGATAAATTAAAATCGTTATAAAATATAAGATATAAAAGAATATTATTTTTGAATTAAATTAAAGGAAGAAAATATTAATTATATACAATGATACAAAGTTTAGAGAAATCTTTAATTACTACATATAATTACTACATATCGTTCTTAATTCTATCATCATAAAATGTTTCTTCCTTCCATTTTTCAATTCATTAGGTATATTAACTGACTAATAGTATTCGTGTTTTCAATAATAAATTGACACGATTTATAATATCCGTCTTATCCGTGTTTTCCTCATAAAAAAAAATTATTTAAAAACGGATTGAATACTGGGCGATTTTGAAATTATAAAAATTATACGATATAATCGGGTTTTTTTTTAGAACAGTTCTAATTTAACCGCGATATTTACTGTCATCTTTTTGCTTATTGCTTCTCCTGTTTTAAGATATAATAATTATATTTTGCGTCAACAAGTATCGAATGTAAAATATCGATGCTATTTTATCTAAATAGAATTTTCTTCGTTTCCCTTCTCTTTCTTTTTTTCTTTTTTTTTTTATTTTTTTTTTTTTTATTTTTTTTTTTTTTTGTATATTTCAGAAGGCAAAAAGTTACGTTATATTTATAATTACTTTTCTTTCATGTTATGCTATTTTTTATCCTACCGAATAGCGAGAAAAATTCAAAATTTATTTTAGAATCTTATATATTAATTTTTTAATGAGGTTATTTAATTTATACAGCGTGATTATATACGAATAAAAGATATATCTATATAGTCTTTATCCTTAATTATTAATGAGCACAAGATGAATGTACATCTTAGAAAGTATAACAGATATATGTATAGATACGAATATACACATATACACATACACGTGTGTGTGTAATATATATATATATATATATATATATTAATATGTATATGCATATGTATGTGTGTATATATATATATATATACATATTTATATCTTAATAATACGTTGCTCTTCCGTAAAACAATACTGCCAGTGCGAACGACCGAAGTGCGAAATCATCATGATACACGAATCGAAAAGAAGAGAGAAAAACGAAAGAATCAAAATCTTGGATCATTTTTAATCTATGTATTATATAAAAAGGAAAGAAGAGCACGAAGAGCATGGAATACAACGCGATGAATTTTTCTCCCCACATATTTTTCTATAAATAATCATATTTTTTTGCACGCACAAATTTATTCGATTAAAAAATGTTCCGTTCGATATACGAATATACGACCAATTGATCATATTACAATTAAGGAACTAGAAAATTGTCCTGTTATATTATACGTATCATATTAAAAATGAACAGAGTTGTAATATCGCGTACACATATATGCATATGTAACGTGTATTAATATAATTAATCCTAATTGAACAATAGCTAGTGGGAGATTTTATTTAATTATTTCGCTAATTTCTTTTCTGCATCTTTAAATCTATGTCATTTCATGTCGCTTTTATATAAATTTCTGAATTAACTAATCATTATTCTTTCTCTTATTCTTTATTATTCTTTATTATTCTTTATTATTATTATTATTATTATTATTATATTTTTTTTTTTTTTGCTATTTTCCGTTTTCTCTCTACTCGTATGCATACGCGCAAATATACATGAAAATATTTAGTCGCATACATAGCATGTTCGCACACGTACTTAGATACGCGACATACGCTTTCGCAAAAATAAATCTCTAAAACGGTTGATGCACGACGTTATGAGCGTTATTCTTTCGGCTTTTCCTTCCCAGGTCCCCTCCCCACCCCTCCCCCCATTTTCATTTTATTCGTGTTATTCTTTTTTCTTCTTCTTCATTTCCCTTCATTTTCTTCTCTTATTATATTTTTCCCCTTCGAAAAAAATCCTTTCGGCTCGAAATCTTGATAGGTTTTCGGTAGCTTGTCGAAAGTAACTGAAAATCGTACGATGAATTCAGTTACTTTTGAGTAGGCAATGACGAACTTGATATTTCTTCCTTCTTTTACGAGAAGATAGTTAACAATTTTACTTTTATTTTTCTTAGCTGAATTTATGTTCTATCAAAAATGAACATATATCGATAAAGCAATAGCAACAAAGGTCATAGGAATACAACTTTGGAGGAGAAACTGAAAATTTTTATTCAACATTGTTGAAGATTTCGAATATATTACACGAGTATCGAATAACAATAACATATCAATATTATATTAATATTTTTACAGTCTTTTATCGTATCGTATTTTTGTTATTTTTTAATATCTATATATATATATATAGATAAAGAAAATTTGCTAAGATTCAATAGAACTTTTAATCGGATGATTTGTTAGATTAAAGTAGCAGTATTTTATCCAATGACCTTTGTTATTTCGATGACCATTAACTGTTTATTATTCGTTGCTAATACAATATTACGGTACCTCGCAAATAAGTCTTTTCCATAATGAATAGTTTGATACAACATACGTGTACTGAAAAATTAAAAACGATGTATTCGCTAAAATGATGAACGTTATTATCGTACGTGTTAGATATAAAATATATTTTTGCAAATAGTTTATAAAGATGATATAACACGTTTAAAAATTAATTTACCCTTGAGCTGCATATGACGGAGACTGATGATGGTAAGGACGACTGCTCGAAAAGCATGCTCGATAAAGTAAGATTGATTTAAAATCGTAAACGAAATTTTAATTCGATCGAACAAAAATTAAAGAAATTAACGACCAAAGTCACGATAATTGAAGTTTCGAAAAAATATACATACATACATACATACATACATATATATATATAAGATCTAGAGCAATAGAATTTTAGAGAATTTAATAATTGTTACGATGTACACAGCGTGTATCGAGCGGTGTCATATCCATACATCGTGTAATTTCGATTTTCAGTCATTCGTTCGTACGCAGCAGAGAGAAGGGTGAGATACTATCGAGATATATGAAAATTTATGTTAAAACCGATCCGTTTATGAGACGGAGCGACTGGACTAGTCTTTTAGACTAGCTTGCGGTATGCGCAAGCGCCATGGGCCCAGAGACCCTGGACTTATTCGGGTACCGGCCCAATTTACAAATTATTCTTCTGTCTCATATCTATATTTTTCAGAAACGATTAAACGTTCATAAAGATATTTTTTTTTTTTCTTCGCATAAAAATCCGTCCACCATACATAGAGGTGTGTATATATATATATATATGGAAAGAAGGAGAAAAGAAAACGGAAAAGAAAGTTTTCTTGGTGATATATATATATATATATATCGTAATAAATTTTTAATCGTTTCTATCGATGATTATCGGACCGGGTCCCGATTATATAGTTATACACATGTATATAGATGACACAGTAATACTTGCGTAATAACAGCCCAGGGCCTCACTGAGCTTGTGCACTAGGATCGCACTGCAACAGTCGCACGATAGACGGATCACTTTTTGCTCCTTCTATAAATTCGTCGAGTGATAATTTCCCATCCTTGTTTTTATCCATTTGTCGAAATATCTTATCGGTTCTTTTTTCCGGCGTCGACTCGTCCTCGGGCATTTTCATCACGGAACCCACCATTTTATAGATTGCCTGATAAATAAATCGAGTGTTTTCACACTCGTTACAAACATTTATTTAAAAACATTCATTTCGATGGTAATTATAAGATAGATAAGATGATTTTATTAAAAGAGAAAGAAGATAACGTTTCCATTCGAAAAATTAATATTCGAAGAATATGGATACTTTTACTCAAATATAATAAATATAATAATAATAATATTTGCATTCGTTCTATCGCACGAAACTCAGAAATTGAATTTATTATTGAAGATTTATTATAGTGAAAAAAAAAAAAAAAAGAAAAAGAAAAGAAAAAAAAAAAAATTCAAATTTAGATATTGATTTATATTAATGAAATTTAAATATTAGATGATTATATTAACTTAATATTTATATTTATATCAAACGTTCTTTTTCATTTTTTTTTCCCAAATTTGTAATATCGGGATATCTATTATCTATTAAAAAAGAATAAAAAGTGTTTCGATGTTTTATACATCGATATTGTAATATTTTTTTTTTTTATTTTCACTTTTTATCATTTTTCTATAATTACCATTATTAGTAGAATAATCCTTAATCTTGATTATTCTTACCGTCACTATTTCCAGCATTTCTTGCCGCGAGATATAACCATTACCGTCGAGATCGTACATGCTGAAGGCCCATTTCAATTTTTGTTCCAGTTTACCGCGAGATGTTACACTGAGAGCGCATAAAAATTCTCGAAAGTCGATTGTTCCATCCCCATTCGCATCGAACGTTCTGAACACGTGTTCTGCAAACTATTATATTATACGCATCCATCAATAATACGATCGAATTCGAATAAATCTGAAATTTCGTTATCGATCAAGGATTATTTATTATTTACAAATGATATTATCGATCTTGTATAATCTTTATCAAAAGTTTTATTAGATAACAAGGATTTGATTGAAAATCACTTCGCTGCATCGGAACTCAATTCAGTTTTCAATTGATGGAATGAAACGTGGAAATGAAACGTTAACGGAGAATGAAATTATTTTGATCGATATTACTTGATAAATTTTACTTTCGATACATCTTCTACGAAAACGAACAATTAATTTGATTTACCTTGGAAGCATCACCGTAAGGGAAGAAATTTCCGTATATCTTTTTAAACTCTTCCACGCTCAGATGACCGCTCGGACAATCCTTTAAGAAGCCTTTGTACCATTCTTGAATTTCGGCATCTTTAAACAAACATTTTATTAAATTATAAAACGCGATCTCGAAGAAATTTGGAAAAGGGGAGGAGGGAGGGGGAGGGGGAAGAATGAGAAAAAAATTTATTAGCTATCGAATAAAAAAGAAGAAATTTCATTTGTCGAATAATTTATTCGACGAATAAAGTATGCGTATCGTTCGAGCTACTATTATACTATTCGATACGAATTTATTATAAAATTGATCGGAAATTTACCTGAAAATTCCGTATTCTGCTTGAGATCCTCTAACACTTCCGGTTTCAGCTTGCTATTTTGTTTCCCCATGGTCGTTCCAAGTTCCCCCTTTTATAAAATCCGGCGAGGCTCTCGGACAGTATTCAATTAGTAGATAAATAAGCACTAACTAGTTTACTATTCTAATGGTGCCGTTTAATACAGCACTTGGTGGCTGGCAATTTCCACCAGACACCCCTGTAACGAGAAAATTTATGTAAATCTTTGTATTTATTTGCTTTTACAAACTTGTCAAATTAAATGATTTTTTTTTTTTTTAGCGGAAACCGGTCTTTTCGTTGTTTTTTTTTTTTTTTTTCCTCTTCTTCATCCGGAGGAATAAAAACGTCGAGATGAAAGCAGTTCGTGACACACGCTCGCACGCTCTTACATGACGCACGCATTCACGCATAGGAGCGAAAGAGAGAAAGAGAAAGAGAAAGTGAGAACGCTAGTTTCTACTTAGATCGATCATTTATCGATCTAAAAGATGAATAAATTCGCGCAAATTGAAGCAATTATGCAAATGCGTGCGCTTCTTTCGAATCGTTAACATTACAAATACAATTTTTCGCATTTTCATTCACACACATTGTTACAAAGCGAACGAAATATTAATAATATGATTTCGATAATGATGGAAAAAATCATAGATGAAACGAATAATTATGACAACGTGTAACGAGATAATAATATAATATAATAATAATAGTAATGATGATTGATGATGATGATGATGATGATGATGATAACAGTAACAATAACAACGATGAAGACGACTATCACGATTATGATTACAATAATAATAATAATAATAATAACAGCAAGAACAACAACATTGATAATACATTTAGAGCAGAGTGTGATTTATTATCGTAATATTATCTATTAGTATTAATGATAAGAATATTTTTTTTTCATTTCGTGGTGCATATCATTCGCATTACCTATAATTTGTCGCTTAAACGGTATATTAATAAATATCATGCTAATGTAACAAGCAAGCACATATTATATTGATAATTATCATTAAATCATGCACGTGATATAAACGGATAAAATATTGAAAAAAAGAAAAAAAAAAAAAAANAAAAAAAGCAGTTCGTGACACACGCTCGCACGCTCTTACATGACGCACGCATTCACGCATAGGAGCGAAAGAGAGAAAGAGAAAGAGAAAGTGAGAACGCTAGTTTCTACTTAGATCGATCATTTATCGATCTAAAAGATGAATAAATTCGCGCAAATTGAAGCAATTATGCAAATGCGTGCGCTTCTTTCGAATCGTTAACATTACAAATACAATTTTTCGCATTTTCATTCACACACATTGTTACAAAGCGAACGAAATATTAATAATATGATTTCGATAATGATGGAAAAAATCATAGATGAAACGAATAATTATGACAACGTGTAACGAGATAATAATATAATATAATAATAATAGTAATGATGATTGATGATGATGATGATGATGATGATGATAACAGTAACAATAACAACGATGAAGACGACTATCACGATTATGATTACAATAATAATAATAATAATAATAACAGCAAGAACAACAACATTGATAATACATTTAGAGCAGAGTGTGATTTATTATCGTAATATTATCTATTAGTATTAATGATAAGAATATTTTTTTTTCATTTCGTGGTGCATATCATTCGCATTACCTATAATTTGTCGCTTAAACGGTATATTAATAAATATCATGCTAATGTAACAAGCAAGCACATATTATATTGATAATTATCATTAAATCATGCACGTGATATAAACGGATAAAATATTAGAAAAAAAGAAAAAAAAAAAAAAAAAAAAAAGAAAAATAGTTTTCGTGATCGTGTCGAAATCTATTCAATTCAATTTAAAAATACTCGAAAAAGAAACGAATCTTGGAAGAATTGGAAAAAAAAATATATATATATATAATCAAAGAAACGTGTCAATTGTTGCAAATTATTATCAAAATTCTGTTTGTAATAAAAAATCTATCATCGTTACATTTTCTTTTATTGTTCGATTATTGTTCGATACTTTTTCCACGAAAAATAAAAAGTCGATAAATCGGTTTATTCGAGGAAATGTATTATCATAGACTGTTCAATGAATTAAAAATAGGCCGGGCAGAGCGAAACAGCAGCTAGAAAATAATTCGTACATCATCGATAATCCACTAAACAAATAGTTTCTTATGACGGTGGATCGCGTGATGCGAGTGAGTATTAACTTTTAATACGTATATATTGCTACGTATTACATAGCATCTCTATATGTATATGTGTGTGTTTACGAAACACGTAATATTTAATTTTAATATAAATTAATTAATCGGTTTAAATTCGCATTTTAAAGATAATTAATGGAATGGAATATCGAGAAAGAACGTAATTTTATTTTTACGTTGATCAGTGATGCGTGTTTCCGATCATTGGGTCACGATCGTGATTTCGAAATCGGAATTTATTATCGTTGTAACGCGAAGTTGTAAGTTGAAATTGGAAAAAAGATGAAAGTGATTCCGTGATCCATGCTTGATCGAAGGTTTGTAGTCAAGGGTGAGAGTGAACAAGCTCGTTTACGCGATCATATGTTAAGGCAATTAAAAACAAACTTTGAAAAACTATATAACGAGATATATACAAGATATTCTTTTTATATCTCTTTCGATATTCGAGATTTCAAAGAAAAATGGGTCGATCAATCTTGAATAACACTTCGTTTAAACGTAAAACTCTCTCGATTATAATATTCCAGTTACTTCAGATGAAATCTTGATTTAACGAAAAGGAAATATAATTATTAACAAAAAAAAAAACGACGAACGTTTTAACAAACTATTAAGAAAAATATTATCAATTTTATCTTTTACGTTTTATTCCGTGTCTCATATCCCGATCCGTCCCACTTTTCTTTCAAATCGTTCAATTAATCATTATTGATGTTAATTCAACATCCGCCACCATACGACTTACGACTAAACGTTTCTTCTCTTTACGTAAAAATTCATTAATAATATTATACATTGAGAAATGTTACATATAATACATATAGAAAAGTGGTATATACTTTTTTTTTCTTTTCCTTTTTTTATACCTTTTTTTTTTTAATTAAATTAAACGCAACTAAGATCATAACGCTAATAATTTTGCGATATTGTAAATCGAATAACGAGGATGGAATGATTAAGAACAATGTAAACGTACGTACATAAGAGAAAAATTCGATTCGTTTAAATCGTACTTTTAATACATATACTTAATTTATGATATATTTACAATTCATTGAATCGAATACGTTATTCTTCTTAATATATAATGTTGAAAAATTCATAAATGAACGAATAACATGGCGCATTATTGAATAATGTGAGTAAGTGTGCGCTACAATGTGTTTTCGAAAATCGAACATGTTTATTAAAGTTATATTCTCTCGTTAAAATAAGACGATATTGAACGTTACATATCGAGGGAATTGATTAAATTGTTACGACAGATTCATATTTTTTCGCATATCTTATTTTCTTTTGTACGTTTTATAACCATATTTTTAACCACGCATGATTATTGTTAAGAGACAGAGAGAGATTTCTGTATGCGCGAAAAGCGAATTAAAATATGAGAAAATTTTTGAGAAAACTTAACTCGTGTGCGCAAACGTGCTGATTTTATTTGAGAAAGTTAATCTTATATTTTTCTCGTCCACGAGACAACAAGAGAGGCTGTAAACGAGTATTCGTAACGTGTCGAATCGAAATGGTTGATTTCGAATGAAATTCGTTCAACGATCGATACGAATGATCGATTATTCTTTGATCGACGCGCTATTACTTACACGCGTGTTTTTTATTTATAATATATTTCGTGAATTTTTCTTCATCGAAATATTTTTGTTCATTTTTTTTTTTTTTAATTCGTCATGCTTTTTTTTTATCGAAAATTAAAGAAAAAGAAGAAAATACGGAAAATATTAGACAATTATATAGACAATTATTGCGTGTAATTTCACGACTTGATTATTACTTAAATTATTACATAATCAAGTAAATATATATATATATATATGCGGTTAGATTAAGTTTTTGATTGTTGGTTAAATATAGTCTGGGAAATTTGAAAAATTATTATTCTAAACAATTTTATTTGTAGAATAACATTAAACTAATCGTTTTACAAACTAATAATTTATATATAATACGACACATAAGATATTTTTACATATCGTTTCTTAATCATATTAAGTTGAAGATTTGAATAAGGGAAAGTAGATACAAAAGTAGCATTAAGGTGTACTATCAGCATTAGCACCAGATCAGAAGTAGAGAAAGAATAAGAAAAAGATTTTTTTTTTCTTTTTCTTTTTTTTTTTTTTTTTTTTTTTTTTACGTTTCTATATTCACACACAAATTATACTCGATCTTATTATCGATCTATTAATTTCAGGTTTCTATACATGTATATATATATATATATAACACTATTATATATATATATATAATTTTTTTTTTTTACAAGACTAATGGTCCTAGAGATCGATCCTATGCGCTAAATAGTTTTTGCTAAAACGTCGAAACGAGTGTTTCCAAGTGTTGTTTTCAAAATCAGAGATAATCAATAATCAATCGGCAGTATATTCCGTCACGAGTACATACATATAAGTACGTATATATTATTTATTACGTCTTTGATAAATATTTATATGTTATAATACTTTTTGAAAACTGCGCAAATTTCAAAACTATAATATAAGATTTTGATCATTTTTGATAAAATGATTTCCATATATTTTTTTCCCTTTTTCTTTTTTTTTCTTTTTTTCCTCTTTTTTTCCCCTTTCTTTTGATAAAATTTCGTATGCATAATACGATAACGAGAGAGAGAAGAAAAAAAAAACGATCATTACGAATCGTTACAAATAAAAATATACGAATAGATGTATAATTATTACCTCTTCTTTTGTATCTTCATATCCTTTTTTATATCTATCATCGAAGCATACGAATACAATAATGTTTTTCTAACTAACTTGCTAATGATACACGTACCATTGCACGATTGGAACGAAATATACAATGAAATTGCGAAATTATTATTTAATATTGTTTAATATTACACGTATTTGTTTTTTAATCGAACTTTCTTTTGTTCTTTCCTTTTGTTCTTCTCGTTTTTTTTATCTATCTATTTATTTATTTATTTATTTTTTTTTCTTTATTTTTATTTTACTTTAAATTGCATATTTTATTTGATATTGTTCATATTATTAAGAATAAACGGATCCACATATATATATAATTACAACGAAATACAATTTATCAAACGATCGTAAATGTCTGAAAAAGATATATCATACTTAACGATAAATTTTTGCAATCTGATATTTTTTACGATATCGATAACTTAATGTTAAAGAGAGAGAGAGAAGAAAAAAAAAGAAAAAGAAACGAAGAATATTTTTTTGAGATAGAAAATAAAAATTGTGTTCCAGAAATCTGCAATCTGATAATTATTTAATAATCAGTATCAGATTACGAATAAAATTAATCGCAATGGCAATGTCAAAATTTAATTTATACCTTTTTGACGTATGTACGTAGATAAAATACTTTCGAATATTGACATTTTGCTTAATTGTTATTAGGATAATATAAATAATAATAATTTAAAAGACAAAATTTATATATTTCTTTTATAAAAAATTATTATCGGTAATTTGATTTTCTAGATTACAGTACTATGTGCAACTCGGTACAATTAAAATACCGATGAAAATACCGAAAACAGAAATACAATAATTCCTTTCTTTTGTAATTGCAATTTAATTGATAAAAATTCTATAAATTTTACGATTGGTAATTTTGGTCACGCGTAAAAGCGCGATCGAAAGTTAGCGTGAAATAATATTCGTTGATCGTATAAAGCATTTATCGCGTAGAAAAGTATTTTTTTATCGATTATTATATTATATCACATAAGAATAAAAATAAAACGTTCGTATATTTATTACGGAAAAATTTATGAGAAATTTCAAACAATTGTTTTGTTCTTGAAACAAAACAAAAGTTAATCTAATTTCATAAAAATTATTTTTATACTATATGCTTTAAATAATATATAACGAATTCGTCTTTCACCGAGTTTTTCGTATTGTTACACGTATTATATCCTTATTGGATCGTCTCTATAATCGTATTCGTATCTTTACGTATCTCCATATACGAGGGGGGATTAAACGATGGATCACATACGAAAGCGTTTCGTAAAAAATGTAAGAATGTAAGTATAAAGATATTGCCAAAAAATTTGTTATGCCATATCGTCTAATAATAAATTCTATTATGGAAGGAATTAATCGCGATACATGGGGAGGAATAAAATTTGAAAAAAAGGAAAAAAAAAAAAAAATACTTTACAAATCATAATTGTAATACGTTCCTTTCTCGACTTAATAAATTTTCATCCAACACATTTTTACGATAGTTTGAAGAGCAACAAATGATGCGTTATACACGATATACAAATAGAATAGAGTGCGAATAAATAGATTAGAAGAGATCAAATACGATAGAAGAAGTGTAAGAAGTGCTCGAGATTAAGCGCAGGAGGAAATAAACGAATTCGTCTTATTCGCTGTAACAATCGTAAATTTACTAACTAATGCTTTGCGATGCATCTTTTCGGGGAAATAGGGAATAATCGATCGATGAAAGGAAAAGAGAGAGAGAGAGAGAGAGAGAGAGAGAGATTAATTTAAAGAAGAGGTTGAAAGCATGAGTGCATGAAGGCGTGCAGGGAGGATAGAATGAATGGCGTAGAAAAATATAAAATAGATTTTCAAAGTAGCGTAGATAATTCGATATTTCGCTCGCACATTAATCTTTTATCTTTGAGCTTGCTTAGCAAGATTTCACGGTAGATTGATTTCGTGGTCAAAGTGGATCGATCGATGTGCCGTTTTACATCATCGGTTTACAACGTATCGACAATGTTTATTGAAAATAAAATACCGAATATTTATTATCGTTTCAAATATGTCTCGTTCAAAGAAATTCTTCTCTCAATTTTTCAATTTTTATCTCGATCGCGACGAGATTCAAAGATTCTGAATAACACCTATGAAAAATATATATTTTTCGTATATACACAACGTGTATACGTAAATACGTAATTTGTATTTTCATATGTACAAGAAAAAGAATACGAAAAGAATACGCGAGATATTTGTTATCGGAAAAAATAAAAAAAAAAACGGATTATTATTATTATTTCGGATGGTTCTTATTCTTTTTCTTTTTTTTTTTATTTTTTACTTTTTATTTATTTATTTATTTTTACTTTTTATTTACTTTTTTTTCCCTCTTTTTTTTTTTTACGAGGATAACAATTTTCGAATTTTTCAACGCTGCGAGATTTTTTGGAAAAATTGGAAACTGAGACGTAACAATGTAATATTTGTAATATATAATGCACTTTGGGTTTGTGTTCTTAAGCATTATAAAATTGTTCTCTCTATATTCATTGACTCTTTTTAAATAGAAGAAGAAACTTGATATTTCGATTGTCAATGCTGCACTTTCGATTTGAAGAGGATCGCGATGTTTCCATTCGTACTATCTTTCGATTTGTTGTGGAACGAACGGAGAGACACGAAAAATATCCGAACCATGGGTACGTTTCTGTCGAAATTAATCGTAGCAAGAAAATCCTTTTCTTTCTTGTTTCCTTCTTTTTCTCTTTTTTTTTTTCTTTTTCTTTTTTTCTTTCAGATGATTTATCACGAATCATCGGAACGAATAATTATTACGATTTATTACGAAACAAAATGGAATACAGCTTATCGTTACGATACGATCGAAGAAAAGATGGAAAAAAGGGGAATCGATATCGTTTCCATTGATATTTCGAATTGTTGTAATTAAACGAGATTGTTTCCTTTTTTTTTTTTTTTTTTTTTTTTTATATCGTATCGAAAGTGAATAATATATATATAGATTTTTCATTTCGATTAAATATAGAAGAGATTTTGGGGGGAATATGCTCGCACACGAACGAGAAGGCGCGCACATTTTTCCATCATCGTATCAATCGAGAAATTAATCGAGAAACTGCGTTTTCAAATTCGTGTTCGAAATTGCGGTGCACGTATACGAACGAAGCACGAAGTATACGGAACGGAAAAACACGAAGAAAACTTCGCGCCTACGAATCGATTTTGAATAATTCGAGAAAAGGCAATGATATGTACTTAGCCTACTATTTTGTATAATAAATAACTATATACGCATAAATATACGCGAGCGATATAACAATAATTTTCTTTTACATTAATTGCACGAACTGCACATTAGTACATATATACTAATATTACTAATATTCTCTTTGCAAATTTCCTCGCCAATTCTTAATAATCGAAACGATATATCTTCTTATCCGTGACTTATATAAATTCGTAGAATTCCAAGTATCTTATCGGCAATTTTTCTCTCGGGAGAGAATACATATATATATATATATATATATAGAATCTTTTCCTTCTATGGAACATACGCATGATATTTATAAATTTTTTTTTTAAAAAATTTATAAATAATCTCCCCCTGGGAGAGGGGAAAGAAAAGAAGAAGGAATAGAAACTAATACATCGAATAAAACGAACAACGATACAAAATTGCATTTATTTAGAAGATGATCGAAATCGTTATACTTTTCCTTCCAATTGCTTTACTTTTTCTTTTTCCTTCGTTTTATCTTTTATATCGATAACGCTCGATAATTCTCTCAGAAAATATGTTTCGTTATAAAATATTATTATTGTTCTTTCTATCGTTGTTATTTTGCCATTTTATCTATCGAATTAACGCGTGTTACGTATATATATATATATGTATATTGAGCGAAAAATCGAAAATCATCAAACTAAAAAAAATAGATAGATAGATAGACGCGTAAAAAGCGAAATGAATCGAGCTAAAAAAATACTTTAACCCCTTTCGATCGCGATCGTCGAATAATACGTTTATCTCATATGTAAATATCATATATATATATATATATCTAATCTTGCGAATTCGAGTCTCTTAAGTCGATAACGATTAAATAAATATAATCAATGAGAATGATTAAATAAATATAAATTTTAAATACTAATTATTACGGTGATCGGGTTGAAAGGATTAAAAGATTAGGGTATGTAAACGTTATCGTAGATTCGGATGAAAAATTTTTAATCATCTTATTACTAATTTTTACCAATAACCAACCTATTAACCGTGCTGCTGATATCGAAGGAAAAAAAAAACACAGAGAGAGAGAGAGAGAGAGAGAGAGAGAGAGAGAAGAAA